TATAAAATTTTAGATTTTTGCAGGCTCTACTAATTTCTAGATTGAAAGTAATTTGTAGCTTTTAATTATGTATCCATAGTCACAGTGAGAGTAATTCATAGTCATTTGTAAACGATCACTGTCATTTTTTTAACTTTTTAAATAACTCCTCACATTAACCCAGCCCGCAAAGTACCCAAAGTGTGTGCGCGTAACTAACGTAGGGCGTCTTCTGTTACTTTACAGAAACTATATACAACCACTTTAGTACCACTAATCACCAACCAACGACAATTAAAATAGTGGTGATCAATAGAGTCCCAACGATAAGCCATCCCCGTCCCCTTTCCCTCCGTTGTTCTCCCTCCCACATCGATAGAGAGAGGTGTGTGTGTGTTGGATATAAGCTCCTCGGTTCAACCCTTAAGTCAGCAATTGCCTTTTGGGTTGGGCCGTGGGTTTAGTTTATATCTGGTGTGTGTGTGTTTCTTAACTAAGGTACGAGAGAATAGAGTCCCAACGCTTTATTTGGACCTGCATTCAAAATTCAGACTTTTCAGAAAAGTGATTAAGTCACCCGGATTCCTCTCTTAACCTCTTTGGATTCCTCCAATATAGTATTAGATAAAAAATAGTTGTATAATAGAATTTATCGTATTAAAAAAAAAAAATCAATGCTGGCCGTCTTGGGTTTGGACTACTGTTCATAAAATGACTTAAAAGTGGAGGAGAGGGTCAAGAATTGCGGAGGCCGAAAGAGGCTGTGTTTGGACAGCCATTTTCTGTCGAAAATTTGCTATGTTTTCGTGAGCACATTTTTCTATCATCTTTTTATTTTACATACATCAAATCGTTACAATAATTTTTTTATAAAAAATTTAAAAAAATATAGTCCAAACACAACTAATCATGATGTCTGCTGTCTAATCCCAAAATGTCCCTCTCCGAACCATCGCTCTCTCTCTCTTTCTCCTGTTTGTTTCTTGTTTCTAGGCTGATGGCTTCTCTTTTCTCGAGTCTTGAGTGTTGTTTCAAATGAGAATAGCCCATGACACGAATCCCAACTTCTTCTTCTCGCGGGGCTGCAATTCTATTGATCCTTAATTATCCATTTCGGTGGCTAATTTTTCAGAATATACGTGAAAAAAAACAATCCGCCAAATGAAACTCTGACAGGGGTATTTCTCAAACTATAACTGCCGTGCTGAAAAAATAAATTTTTTAAATCGCTCTGTCACAAAATTTTTTTTTTAAAAAGGTCAGCAGCTGCCTAATTTTTTTTTAAAAACTGACTGTCCCCTTCCGTGCACAGTCAGCACGCCAGAGTACAAGCAGTCAAAAAAAAAAAAAAGTGCCAGGCGGTTAACGGAAATCGTTACATCCGTCCTTTTGCATTTGCTTCTTGATCTTTTTGTCTACCATGGATTGTTTCTCAGACTAAGAGTTTGACGTTCTTGGTAGTATGATTTTGGCAAGTAAGTGATCAAACAGATGGATTTTTGTTCCTCCTCTTAGAAGAATGGTTCAATTTTCATCTTCCCCATCCCCTTCCAGCTTCTTCCTTTCCAAATTTTGTATTCTCACTACTTAATTTTATCATTCTATGATTCAGGATTACCTACAAAGTTGCTTAAAATTTTATATCCTCCAGCATAATTTTGTCTATGCTCAGTCTGTGTACTGCAAACTTGTCTAATAACTGTCCAACTTTGTGGTTTCTACTCTGCCCTTGATCTGGGAACATAAAACCTCAGGACCATGAATTAAAAGGCATTTTTCTTCTCTTGTTTCTGGCTGGTGGTACGAGTCTATTTAATGGTAAGTAAAATTCGACCCCTTAAAGCACAAAACACAGCTCATGAACTTCGGAAAACAGGAAGAAAATGGACAATCATTTTTCAAAAAATAAAGAAATTGTGATCCGCAACTTGGAAAGGAAAAAACTGGAAAAATACATTCTGAAACCAATCAAAATCCAAATTTGCATCAAAATAATAATTTAAGCATGTGGAATATCTCCAGGGAATTAAAATCAAGAAAATTAAACAGGAATACATGTGTGATTTATTGTCAAATTACCCCATAAACTGAGGGTGGGTTATTATGCTGAGTATTGATCCTCGTTTCTAATACTACTGTTGGCACTGTGCCAACGAACACTCAGCTGGCAATGGCATTAGTCCATTGAATCGCTTGGTATCTTTGCAGTAGTCATAGGTAGAGCTGGCAATTTGTCCCAAGTCCCAATGGGCTACCCATGCCCAAAGGAACTTTGGGCGGGATGGATATTATAATTTGGTATTGGGTTTAAGTTGGGACACATCCCAACTATACCCATTAATGAATGGGAAAGGATGGGAAATACTTGGGTACCCATTGGGCTCAAATGGCAAGGGCTCCGTTTGGATTAGCTGTTTTTGGTAGGTGTTTTTGAAATATTTTATTGTAGCAGTGTATATGAAAAATTTTTACTATAAATTCTTTTTGAAATATTTGATATATTAATATGGATGGGATGTTTCTTGAGTTATTGTATATTACTGTAACATTGTATTTGAAAAACTTATTTTTTGAAAAAAAGTCAATCCAAACGGAATCTTAGATTCAAAAATTATCTTTAACAATTTTTATAGTCATACCAGCGAATATAATCTAGTAGTCTTCCTAGTCATTATCCACAAGAATTTCCAGCATTTCAGTTAGTTTAGACCTATCATCCTTGGACAATGATAAGGATAAATATTCAACATCCTAAGGACCTTGGCCATCTTGATATATGTTGGAATATGGTTGTATATCTATCTTTTTCTTTATTTGTTAATCCAATTTTTGGTGAGAATCTTGAGTATAAAGCACTTGCATGTTTATTTAATAAAACTAAAAGAAATTTAATAAATCAAAAATATTAAAATTATATAAAAATAAAAAATGAATTAAAGGAAAAAAAATATGTAGAAAATGGATTTGGGTATTGGGCGGGATCAATCTAAACCCATCCCAAAATGATCCCGCCCAAGTTAATCCCAAAACACATATGGGTAAGGTTGGGCCCAAACCCATATGACTCGGTTCCATCTCAAACCCAAGCAAATCCCGCCCATCCCGCCCATTTTGCCACCTCTAGTCATAGGGCATAGGGCATAGGGCATGCATTTTTGTCCGATCCAATTCATCTATCCTAGGTTGGCAAAGTTGAGTTGACCATAAGCTGGAGAGGTCCACCAGTTGCCAGGGAAAGGCAGGGCACATTGCTAAGTGGTCCATTCCATGTGCAAGCCCTTGGTCTAAAATTGCGGATTCTAAGTCCAGTACGGTAGCGGCCGACAGCTTTTTCTAATTGTCGGCCGCTACCAAGCACAGTCACGGTTGCCTTTTTTAAAAAAATTTGCAGTAGCAGCGATTAAAAAAAATTATTCCAATCAGTACGGCAGGTATAATTTTGTAAGTAACCCTTGTCAGACATACATTTCATTGACTTTTTTTTTGGGGTATATTCTGAGAAATTAGCCCATTTCAGTTAGGCCACTCCAACCGAATTTTGGACAATGATGAAATAAAAGTCTCATTTGGATAGTTACTTTTAAGAGTTTTTATAAAAAAATTTATTATTATACTCGAAGTTAAAAAAAAAATAAATTGAGAAAGTACTATATCATGACCATACCATCTCCGTCATAGCTTTCAGTGACTTATCCATTAGTCATTTTTATATTTCAAATACTCCCCCCGTCCCACTTTGATAGTCCTGAATTCCTTTTTCATCTGTCCCAAATTGTAATCCACTTTCCAATTGAATAATGTAGTTGTATTTTAATTTTCCTAAAATACCCTTATTCAATGTAAGTAGTTGTTATTATAAACCTACCCCATTTAATGAGAGTTGATTCTTTTTTTACCATCAATTCAAGTTCCCATAAAGTTGTACCATATTTAATGTGAGGGTATTTTAGGAAAATAGCAATCTAAATTTACTTTTCCAACAAAATTAACTACTTTTTCTTAAACTGTGTGAAAAAAGAAACAGGACTATCAAAGTGGGACGGAGGGAGTAGTTATCTTTAGTCATGTAATCTCGCGCAAGTCAAAGTATCACGTAATCGGGAGTGGTTAAATTTCAATTGCCATTAGAACTCGTGGGAGAAAGTTTTGTGATATTTTCTTTTTAATCGGAAATGTACGAGTAAATTTGTTGTATCTTAATATTAGGTATGTTTGTTTGGATAAGAGTTTATTTGGATGATTTATTTGAGATAATTACTGTAACACTTTTTGCAATGTAATGTATGTGAGATAAAAAGGTGATTGGAAAGATAAAAAGGTAATTGGGATGATTTGTGAAGCAAATTATTTTTTTTCAATCTATCTCAATCCAAACACAAATTATGTGAAAAAACGTAGTACACCTACAAAACAGTAAAATAGTCTTGTTGTGTCACTTGGGGCGAAATTCAATGCCTTCGACAATAAGGCCTGACTTCCCATGAAGGCTAATAATCTCTATCAGTCGAGCCTCCACCTGACCATCATCTCCTCTATCAGTATAAAACTTCCCCAGTTCTAATTCCATCCAGCCATCTGTTCTCATTTTGGGAAACTTTCCACCAAATTCTGCTGGATGATTCATACCTTCCCTTGATACAAGATGGACAGGTGCAGCTCTTCTTCCGGCCACACCGTCACTCTCATGGTTTACAAATCTGATTAAACTTGTTGCTTGCTCAATCCCATAATACTCCTCTGCTATCTTGAACACTAGGAAAGCTGCATAAGTAGTACCAGTAGACAACATTTGACTTTCTATCCTGCCTCTGATATCCAGCCAACAAACAGCCTTAAGCTTGGCAACCTCTCTGAATCTGCAAATGCAAAAAAGATTGGCACATTATAATCACTTTGAATCACACTGGCAAAGGAGTTTGGGTGTGGGGTTGATTGGAGATATGATGAGGAAGAACCTTGAGTCAGGACGAGATATCCAATGCCAGTACCATGGATCTCTTGCCCAGGCAATGATGAGTTCTCTTGCCCCAACCATATAACATTTCTTTCCACTCCTTTTATCAACTGAAAAGCTCTGCTCAAAAGTTCAAACCAAATGGTCACCAAGGGAAAATGGAAAACCACAGAATTACAAGTTATAGCTGGAAATGGAATTGAAAGGGGGGCGTTAACCGTGCATGTAAGGTTTGTGGGATCTAAGAGAACTGATAGAAGTTGGATGAGTGTGATTAAATTGCAGAGTTCTGAACAGGAGGCAATTTGATCACAAATTTTGAGTCCGGACCACATTGTTTTATGTTGCCTTAAATATTCTTAGGGAAATTTGCCAAATTGGTTCCTAACATTTACCAAAAATACTTTTTTAGTCCCTGACATATAAAATCAGCCAAAATGCTCCTTCACATTTAAATTGTGAGCCAATTTGGTCCTATTGCTCGTTTTTGCTCATTTCTCCGGCTAAAAATAGCACGCCCCTCTCACGTGGTCATATTTTTAGGGGCAAAACCGGAAACACATTTCATTACCGGTTGAAAGTAAAAGGATAGGGGACCGCCACCAAAATACACATTTTACCTTTGGCTCTCAAATTACCCTTTACTCTCTATGGAGCCACCGGAAAATGACGCCGTGGCTGTTGCATCAGCTGAGAAAATCATCCTCCGCTGGGACTCCACAGCCTCCGAGGACGCCAGGGACAGAATGATCTTCGACGGCGATCGATATGAGATCGACAAATACTTCCAAGCCGTGGATGAAATCCAACGGTCAATGGAATCCGCCAGCATCTCAGACGACTCTGCTAAGGCCAACAGCGCGATCCAGATCACCATGGCCCGCCTGGAAGACGAGTTTCGCAATATTATCATTGCTCAAAATTCCCCTCTTGAAGCCGACACTCTGACCGATCCCAGCTCTTGTTCCTTCCGCTCCACCGCTTCTATTGGTAGCAGCGACGGCCACTTGAGCTTGCTGCCGCCGCCCCTGCACACCGAGGAAGACGATTTCACCGAGACCAGCTTGGCAAGTTTGGTAAAGAAAATGTGATCCTTCCAGGAAACTTAGCCTTTCTTTTCGTGTGATTCCTTTGCCTAAAAGGGGCGGCTCAAGCATCATGTATGGAAGGTGCACAAAGTATTCAGGATGCCACAAAAAACTTCACTCATTCAGCGAAATCTTCTCGCCAGATCAGGGCATAAAGCTTGTGAATTCTCCATTTTCCAATCTAAGGGCAACCATTCACTCTTAAGTTGAATTGTCCAATTTTCAAGATTGATTATAACAAAATTGTCCATTCACTCTCAAATCACCTTTGGCTCCATATGCTTGTTAATTCGGGGATGCAAATAGGGTTTCTTGAAAGGGTAATTTGAGAGCCAAAGGGAAAGGGTAATTTGAGAGCCAAAGGTGAAATGTGTATTTTGGTAGTGGTCCCCTATCCTTTTACTTTCAACCGGTAATGAAATGTGTTTCCGGTTTTGCCCCTAAAAATATGACCACGTGAGAGGGGCGTGCTATTTTTAGCCGGAGAAATGAGCAAAAACGAGCAATAGGACCAAATTGGCTCACAATTTAAATGTGAAGGAGCATTTTGGCTGATTTTATATGTCAGGGACTAAAAAAGTGTTTTTGGTAAATGTTAGGGACCAATTTGACAAATTTCCCATATTCTTAATAGCAGCGTGCATTACGGAAGAGATGAATCCTCTATGGTTCTGCTTTCATTTTCACACTTCTTCATACAACCGGAGGATGCCTTTCTTAATTCCTACTCGGATCAGGCTAATTTTACTTCTGTCTTAGCTGTAACAGCACAAACATTTGATCAAGGTTTCAAGCACAAGAAAGAGTACAAACATATAAATAAAAAAAAATGCATCACATTAGACACAATGATTACTCTTGTCAAGTTTGAGAGCAAGATATTACTTCAATGTCAATGCAAATAAGTTTTAAGTATCAAAGAAATCAAGAAAATAAGAACTCAATAAACAGTTAATATGGTATCTCTAAGCTTTATTTTTAACATTTCACCTTAAAAGCTTACCCCAACAACTTGGCTATATGTATTGAATTGGCACAAATTGTAATTTTCTGAGCAAATTCATACTTCCAAAGAATACCGGGGACTACTGCCATAACTTTATCTACTAGTCAGCCAAAATCAAATCATAGAGAACAATTTATTAACTACAAAATCCGATAACAGAAACGGATAAGGGGTACCATTCTGCCTCCATCAAGGAGAAGAGGAGAATCACAGAGAGAAAAGTAGAGGGCCTTTTTGGTTGTGCAATCAACAGCAGAATCTGATCTTGAAATGATATCTTGATAATCAGATGGTAGAAATTTCTCCCAAATAGTATCAGAATCAGCAGCAGGCTTGAACTCTTTTGAGACAACTGACGTTCTGATCACATCCACAGGTGAAGTGAGTGATAGAATCTCAGATATGAAGCCTTCTGGCAATCTGGCAAAAGGGCCTTCCATCTCATAGGACAGCTGCTCTTCCACTGTTCTTCTTGCTTAACGTGGAAGTGATGACTAGCCGACTGAACAAAGGCAAATTCTAATAGAAAATAGCAAAGGAATAGAGAATAGAGTCTTAGCAGTTTTGATTCAATAATCTGTAATAATTTTTATTTTTCACGTCCTCTATTGGTTACAAAATATATACACGTCCTGTCCTTTACTAACGATTGATTAATAAGCCTTAACCTTCTTCTGTTCTGATGATGACAATTCTCCACTCATAGCTTCAAATTTGGCTTTTCACAAGGAACAACTCTACTCTTTGGGACAACAAATTCATTTCACAGAGGTTGTTGTTGCATCATCATCATTAGAAAATGGAGGGCCACAAACAAAGAAACAAAGATGTGTACATCCACATCTATGGACTACATATATGACACTACTACTGAATACTGATCCCTGTCCCATCCCACGTAGTAATTGGCTCATGATCCCACGGACCAATCTTTCTGGCATCTCTGCATCAATGCCAATCTGTGTTTGCAGTGACAGGTTTGGTTTTTGGTAAAGTGTTGCTTTCAATGGTGCGAAAATTCTCGTATTCAATTGTCACTAAACATGATATGCCATCGCTTTTGCATCCAGGTGTCATCAAACTGGCTATTGTTTTTAGTCATCCGATTCCTTGGAAGTAATAAAACTGTTTTGTTTTTGTCAAATGTCAATAGCTTGATGAGGATGGAATTGGAATCCTAGTCTCTCTGTTTAGCAAAGCTAGCTGCCAAGCTTAGCTCTCAATCTTTGACTGTCCTCCTGTTCTTTCACTGGCTGGCTTATTTTTAACTTAAACTTTTCTGGTCAATCTTTCACATGCATGGCTGCAATCTTTTTCTTTTCTAAAAAAGATTTAAGTAGTAGTAAACAAATTGATAGGGTGCATTTTAGTGGGATATTTTGGACATTATTGCACAATTATTTGACTAAGTATTTCATTAATTGGGTGGATTCTACTCAGATATAATTTTGGTGCTAATTGCAGGAACTGATGCTGAAAAATGCTTAAAATAAAAATTTAGAGGATTCATCGTACGTGAAGCACTTCAAACAGTGGAGTCCGCTTGAAAAGCTGAAGAAATTAAATTGTAATAAACTTTATTTTATTTTATTTAGGGAGTCTTGTTTATTTTGAATGCCAATTTCCGATAAGAGGAGATCCTTTCCTTGAATTTCGGGGCTACCAAAACAGAAGGGAGGAAGTATTAGACTCCCAGGGGACTACTTGTTTTTGGGGAGATTTTCGTTTGGCTGAGGTTTCTTTTTTCGTTTTGCTTTTGAATTTCGTGGGCCGTGGCTTTGAAAACAATCAGGAGATAAAAGCCACCGGTGTTGACCTTGTCAATGTTTTTTTTTTTTCCATTGGGTATTGACGGAATTGAGAAAGCAAGCAAAAACCCTTTTTTTTTCTCGTATGTTTTGTTTAGCAACTAGGAGAAGCAAAAAAAAACTAGGAGAAGCAAACGAGAGCCGCCATTGTGGACCCTTTGGCTTTGCTTTTCACTTGATCTTGACCGAAATTGGAAGACACATCATACCATCTTATTCGTATGCTTTTGAGAACAATTGGAAGCAATCAAATTCTGTTACAAAAAGGTTAACCTATTCATACAAGGTCCAGAAATTCCATAACAAACGCCCCTCCTTAGAGGCCGACGTCCCCGACGGCCTTGTAATTTTGGGACTCCCCCTTCATCGAGGCAGAGCCTCTGCGAGATTCGAACCTGGGACGTTGGGTTCGTTGCTTGGCTCTAATACCATTGTTACGAAAAGGTTAACCTATCCATACAAGATCCAGAAATTCCATAACAAATTCCTTGCTTTTTTCTCTTGTTGTTGACCGAAACTGGGAGAAGTGATTTGAAAATGTTTCCAAACTCCACACGCGCGGCTTGTTCTCTAATTATGGGGAACTAAACTCCTCATTCTAGTCAAGGGGGCAACTGACGAATTGGTTCAACAATTACTGTAAAATCTAAACCGTTTTTAATTATTTTCTTCATTTATTGATTTTTATATGTTCCCTGCTTTTAATTGTTATAGCCCTTGTGTATGATTGGTTAGTGCGCAATAATTAATTATTCATATAGACTATTTTGCTAAATAGAGGTAATTGAATCCGTAATTGTTCGTTATCTCTATCTCAATAGCAACTGGCGTAATTGGATTTATATCAGGGGAACATACAATCTAATTTAAACAAACCCTCGTAGCGTGTTTGTTAGTTAGGATTGGACCTTTCTAATTATTAATGCAATCTAGAAATTAAATCTCACGGTCGTACCTAATGTTGTTTTTGGATTAGAGAAATAGTTAACGGTCGTACCTCAGCTATCGAGAAATTAAGGAAAGGTTGGTTGTTTATCGCGTGTATGACAACTATAACCAATCTATTAATAAATGTGAAATTATCTGTGAATCGATGATCAGTGCATGAACCATTTCTGAAGTGTACCCTTGACTAGAGTTCTCTTAATTATTTCTCTTAAGTAATTATTTTCTGCAGTTAATTTATTTAGTTAGCATTTAATCGTGAAAACCCCCATTTGTCTTGACTCGAAAGGAAACAAATTTTTCTCCAGTCCCTAAGGAGACGACCCTACTTACCACTGTCTACTAGTTAGTGAATTCAGTTAAATAATTAATTCAGGTATATCGGATTAAGCAAACTCTACTCTTCGGGAACAAGGTGAATCAAGTAACCAATTGCACACCTAGAGTTCCTGCTCCAGTACTAGAATTGATTATTGACTGCTTCAGGTGGTAGTTAGATTTTATTTATTATTATTGCACATGTTCGGCACTTATCACAAATTTCACACGTATAACTCCAACTTTTGATTACTCACCGTCTTCGTCTTCACCGATTAGAGTAGATTAAACTTGTACTTCACATCTAATATTCTTGTTAATTCTGCCTTGTCAAAGAATTCCTCCATATTGACCCATTCACTAATGAAACCACCATAGCTTCTCACATGATAATTGTTCACACAATTTCCAAAAAAACATCAAATCATATCTTTCTTTTTGCCAATTATTTGCAATTCCACAACTCTTCAGAAGGAAAAAAGAAAATATAGTTTTGTTTTTCTTGTCCTACAGCCTAAAGCAGCATATGCTCCGTATCGAACATCATAATAAACATCAATGTACCAAGAACATTGCATAAAACCCAAAACATGTTTTGACAGTCCATGGAAACAAAAGAAAAAAAGAAAAAAAAGAAAGAATGATAAAAATGGTTCAATATTATAAATAACTAAAGTTATGTTTGAGTTAGTTCTTAGAATCCTTTATTAATAAATTCATTTTTTTTTTTTACATTTCTACATAATACTCTTGGGCTTTTAAATTTTTGCCATATGCTTGTGATAGTAAAAGCTAAAAACTATTAAGAACACCGGACTGTTAATTCAGCTGCTATAAAATAGACGTGTACACCTAAAAGAAATGAAAGTACACACATAATGATAGTTCCCAAAAGCATGGAGAAAGCTATGCCCCACAACTAATAGGAAAATTCTATGGTCCATTTAAGTGCCATTCTCTTTACTTGTATCTCTCTGGAGATAATAATTTTAATTTTTAATTTTTAATTTTTAATGATGTTTAATCTAAGATTCAATAACACTTTTTTCACCATTCCACGATGAATTTCATTTGTACATTCCCTCTACTTGTATATGACTTGAGATAATAAATTTAAATTTTAAATATTTAAGAATGTTTAATCTAAAGGTCAATAACACTTCTTTTACTATCTAACGATAAATTTCACTTGTGAGTATGATACCCAAAAGAGACTGCAAAATCTTCTCAATTAATAACTAGCTAATGCTAGCCAAACTTATTATTACTCTCAATGTAGGGATAAAGAGATTCTAGTATCCGTTGAACGGTACATTATAC